TGACCCCTTGAGACTGACTACCACACTGGTCCTCCGCGCACACTCACGTCCCGACCCCCGGGAACTGACCACCACTCTGGTCCTCTGCACATATTCACCTCCGGGCCCAGTGATGCGTGTAGGGCCGCTCCGGACACTGGGCAGCTGAGGCTGCGGGGGCGGGAAGGACGGGAAAGCGCGGCGGCCGAGGCTCGTGGAGGAGAAGGCGGCCCAGGACACATCGCTGGACGGTGGAAGCGGCCACCTCGGACACCTCCTGCAGGGCAATCACGCCACATGTGACCAAGACAAAGAGAAACAACCCCCGCAACCTTAAGGACGACGCGTTTAACCACACGCTCTGAGAACGGAAGTTGGCTGACTTCCGCTTCCGGTTTCTGGCACTCTAGGTGCCCCACTAAAAGCGGTCCGTGTGGGAACAGAGGGGAGGCGAGGCCGACCTGCCAGCGGACCGAACAGGTGTAATGCGAAGGAGACACAGGAAAACTCGCGTCACAAGAAAGAATTGATACTGAAAATTTTCCGGAATTATCAAATGAACAGGAGCCAATGGTAATGAGAGGAAATCAGAAGCTGCATTGAAGGCATTGCCAAAAAATAAGGCCCCAGGAATCAGTAGGAAACCAATTGACTTGATTCAATTAACAGATGCAGCCTCAGATGCACTCAGCAGTCTATGCCAGGACATTTGAGAACAGCTGTCGAGGCCTACGGATTGGAAGAGGTCAGTATTTGCTCCCATTCCCAAGAAGGGTGATCCAATTGAATGTGAAAATTATCCAACAATATCAATGATATCACAGGCAAGAAAAAATACTGCTGAAGATCATTCAAAAATGTATGGGAAAAGTTCAACACTGAATGACCAGAAACCCTAAGTCTCTATAAACTTTCACTAAAATTAATTTTAAAAGCAAAGCAAACAATGTGTAGAAGAGAACATAGATAGGTAATTGCCAGAAGTTCAAGAGGGATTTGGAAGTGGCCAGGCAACAGGGATATCATTGTTAATGTCAGACGGATCTCAGCTGAAAAGTAAGGAATACCAGAAAAATGTCTATTTGAGCTTTATTAAATAGGCAATGGCATTTGCCTATGTGGACCATGACAAGTTGTTGGTGAAACTGAGAAGAATGGGAACCCAGAGCACTTAATTGTACATATCAGGTACGTACAGCTGGAGGAGGCTGTTGTGCGAATGGAGCAGGGAGCACTGCATGGTTTGGAACTGGGAAGTGACTGCACCACGGTGGTATTCTCTCTCCATACCTGTTATACACTGAGCAAATTATCCCAGAAGCTGGACTCCATGAAGAGAAGTGTGGCATCAAGATTGGAGGGAGACTCATCAATAATATCCATTATGCAGATGCCACAACCTTGTTTGCTCAAAGTGAGGGGAACTTGAAGCACTTGTTGCAGAAGATGAAGGAATATAGCCTTCAGCATGGATTGTGTCTCAGTATCAAGAAAATAAAGATTCTTACCACTGAACCAAAAGGCAATGTCATTATGGATGGAGAGGAGACTGTAACTGTTAACACCTTCATCTTGCTTGGATCCACAATTAACACCCTTGGTACCAGCAGTCGGAAATAAAGAGATGCATTGGGGAAATCTACAATTAGAGACCTGCCAAATTATTGAGGAATAGTGATGTCCTTTTGAGGACTAAGGTGCTTCTGATTCAGGCCATGGTTTTCTGATTCCTAGCTAGACTCTTGAGACCCAGACAATGATTAAGAATGATAGAAAAAGAATTGATGCTTTTGAGGTGTGGTGTTTGAGAAGACCACTGAACATCTCATGCCAAGAAAACAGACATGTTTTGGAGATGGTGCAGCTGATCTCTGGAGGAAGAATGATGAAGCTTTGCCTCACATACTCTGCACATGTTGCTAGGAGGTACTATCCCCTGCAGAAGAGCGCGCATTATGTTGGGGAAGAGTGGAGGGTCAGCGAAGGAGTGGAAGATCCTCAACGAAGTGGATTGATACAGTGACTGCTGCCATGGGCTCTTGTGTATCAGGAAGTGTGAGGATGGAGCACGACAGGACTAGGTTCAGATCTTTTGTTCACAGGGTCGCTATGAGTCGTGCTCAACCTGACAGATCAAAGAACAACTAAGTAAAGAACTACACTTATTTTCAGAATGCACTAATCTGTGCACCAGGGTCTCTGGGGAAGTGAAAGGGGCTGATCTGGGATGGGAAGGCACAGGTTCAACGTGAGGCCCTTGAAGGTTGCAGTCAGGTCTGGAGCCCACCTGTCACCTTATGGTGGGTCAAGTCAGAGGATAAAGTTCATGGGATTTGCAGACAGAGCCGAGGGAGGAGGAGCCACTGAGGTGAGGAGAGGCCATTAGCCCCAGCTATCTATGAGAGTGAGGGATGGTGTTTAGGCCAATCCCTCATCTTCTTAGTCCACAGAGTGTTTCCAGGTAACCATAGGCCAAACATCTCCGTCTCTATGTACCCACCTCTTCTAGATGGGAGAATGATGACCATTTTCTTCATATTCAGTTTAAGGCCTTGGAAACCTGATTGGGGAAGGGGCCAGTAGATTAGGAAACAATTTGAAAGCAATGAATTTTTTCCATGTAAGCAGGAACACATCTTCGGTGTAAGATACTCTGCTGGGATAAAGGTTATATGTGGGTATAGTAAGGTGGGTTTCCCATTGCTGTAAAAGATCTCTACCCCACAAATTGACTGGAGTTTCTAGTACATGAGTTCCTAATCATCCATCTGGCCTTAGGCACTTTAAAGGATGTGCACTCCGGTTGATAGGAGCGACACTGACAGAACCAACTCCTATATTAAATTCTACAGCTGTCAAAGGCCAGGAGGCTCACCAATATGACAGAGACACAAAGACTACGCTAACATCAGCACCAGAATCCACCAAGCCAAGACATCTTTTTCTATTTAGCTTAAATTCCATCACAGGTCGTGATGACTGTTGCATAATGGAAGTCCGATGAATCTGAATTTTATCAGTACTGCTGAACCCCCAGTTCACTCTTTCTCAAAGTGTACATAGGGTCGCTATGAGATGCAAGTGACTTGATGGCACATAACAACAAACAACAACAACATACAAGGTAATAATAGCATGTGGGAAATTTTATCTCCTATTTATCATAACTTGAAACTCCCCTTGATAATCACTATCAATAACTCCGGGAAAAACTTGCCATCCTTTCTTAATAAGGGAAGATCGTCCCAAAATTAATCCAACAGAATTTTTGGGTTAAGGTACATGTACTCCAGGTGGTACTTTAGTAGGGCCTGTGCCTGAACTGCTAATTTCCTAAGGGGGGTAAGGACTGAGTGATAGAAAGGCAGGTGTGTAAAAGCAACGTGAGCAGGACTGGGAGTCTCCTTGGCCATCCACACCTAGGCTGTGAGTCCTTGAAATATTTCTGTGTAATTTGCCCAACATCCCCCGAGAAAGTAATTTCACTCTATGCTACTCTTTGTATTACTTCAACTAATTTGGTATTTTCTCCGCAATAAAAGAATCAAAGATGGAAATATATATTAAAAAGGGGGGTGGGGCAAGAAAGAAAAACAAGAGATTCTGTGTAAGATGGTTTAATGGCACAAAGGTTATGCAGTTGAGTGTTAAAATGAAAACTCAATGCTAAGGCCAAACCATCCATCAGGATTTTAAAGGTAAAGAAATTGCTGTGGACATGTCACTTTTCAATGCAAGCCCGCGCTGGTTTCTACTTCAGGAGAAAGAGGTGCCTGACATGCACTACGCAGCAAACTATGACATTTTAGTCAACGGAGACTTGTGGGATGCAATGATTTTGTTAATCGGATGTTCTTCAGAGCATGGCCGAGACACTCACGGAGGTTGGGCATCCTCTCCACACCTGGTTTGTTGTGACAGTAAAGTACATAATTAAAAGTAGAGAACTTACATGCTCATCAAGTATCATCCTGAAGAGTAAAAACAGTGCCCTTTCTACCGGCAGATTACTAAAACTCTTCATGACATGAAGGGAGCTCTGGTGGCTTAGTGGCAAGAAGCTGCACTGCAATCCCAGAGGTGTGTGGTTCGAATCCAGGAGATGGTCTGATGGAGAAAGAGGCACAATCTCCTTGTGTACCAGTCAGATCCAATTTGACGGTACATTCACACAAAAATACAATTTTTTAAAAAAGACCCCAAACTATTAATGACACAAAACCTCTTGCACAAGTTATTTTTTAATTGCATGAATAATATCAATCACAAACACCAAAATTTATAAAAAGGTATTTCCCCCAGTCATATTTACTCCAGGTTTATTGGTAAGAGTCAATGATTTTATTACTCTGAGAAAGACGTTCACATGGATCGGGGATAAGGACGATAATTTTAAAACGCCACATTTGCAAAAAATAGCACAGAATCAAAAGATCAATTTGACAGAGTGGTGCAAAGTAGACACAGCTTCAACAAACAATGACTGACACCCACACACAGAACAAATATAAAACCCACTGCAAATATCTCCCTCTCCAAGCCACAATGACAGTTTTCCTCTGTGACATCACCAGGAAGATTAAGAGTTTCCTAGATTTTGAACTCGCCTGTCTTATGGAGTAGGACTTCTCAGGTGCCTGTTGAGGACAGAGGATGGATTGAACTCATTCCTCTATTCCTTCCATTCATACGGCCTGTCTCCAGGGTGAGTGTCAACATATCCACTGAGGAACAGATAAAGTGTGTCTTCCCTTGCTCACATATGGAAGAGGTTTCTGCTGTGTGAATCTGTGCATATCCTCGTGGTGTCTGATTGGAGAAAGGCTGTCCCACATTCTTTCCCTTCAGATGGTCTACCTTAGGAGAACTCATCATGGATAACTCACATACCAGAGTCTCAAAAGCTTTCTCTCCTTTCCTCACTGTCCTAAGTTCTCTCTCCTCTGTGACTTCTTCTGTGTGTCACACGAGGACCTAACTGTGCAAATGCTTTCTCATAGTCCTTACATTCCTAAGCTTTCTCTCCTGCGTGAACTCTTCCATGTCCAGTGAGGTCAGAGGACTGCAGAAATGCTTTCCCACATTGATTACATTCCTAAGGAATTCTTCCATGCTTATTCAGTGCAGCAGATGAGGAAAACTTGTCCCACAGCCCTAAACTTCACAAGGTCTCTCTGTGTGACTTCTTCTCTGTACTGTGCAGAAAACTCATTCACTGAAGGTTTGACAACATTCCTTACCTCGATAAAAAGTTTCTCTTCTATGTGGATTCTTCTATGTTCAGTGAGTTCCCCTGATGGCAGAAATGTTTTCCACATTCCTGACCTTCACAAGGTCTATCTCCTGTATGGATTCTTCTATGTGCACTGAAGTCACCTGGGTGTGTACAAATGCTTTCTCCGTATTTCTTACATTCATAAGGTCTCTCACCTGTTTGAATTCTTACGTGTATATTTAGATTATTGGGCCATAGTAAGTTTTCCCTCAATATTGACACAAATAATGTCTCTGTCTTGGGTGAATTATTCTGTGTCATGTGCGGGTTCGTGACTCTCTGATGGTTTCTCCACAATGATTACATTCACCAAGTCTCTCTCCTGTGTGAAGTCTTCTATGTGAAATAAGACAACTTAGGTGTTTAAAGGTTTTCCAAATTCCTTATATTCACAAGGCATTTCTGCTGCATGAATTCTTTCGTGTGTACGGACGATGGTTTTGGAATTCAACTTTTTTCCACATTCTTTACATTCATAAGGTCTCTCTCCTGTGTGAATTCTTCTATGAACAATGAGATTATGCGATTGTGCAAAAGTTTTCTCCCATTCCTTGCATTCTTAAGGTCTCTCCGCTGTGAGAATTCTCTTATGTCTATGGAGATGGGGCATGTTGTGAAAGGCTTCCCCACATTCCTTGAATTCATAAGGTTTCTCTCTGGTGGTTGTTTTTCCATGTGCAGTAAGCTGATAGGATCACAGAAATGTCTCTCCACATGCTTTACATTCTCTTTACTGTATGAATTCTTCAATGAGCAATGAAAGTCCTTGGTCCTGTAAAGGCTGCCCCACATTTCTTACATTCCTAGGGTCACTCTCGTGTGTGACTTCTCTTATGTCTTCGGAGATGGGGCATGTAATAAAAGGTTTTCCCACATTCCTTGCATTCGTAAGGTCTCTCTCCTGTGTGAATTATTCTATGTCTACGTAGGCTGGACATGTCATAAAAGGCTTTTCCACACACCTCACACCCATACGGCTTCTCTCCCTTGTGCGTTCTGCTATGAATACGCAAATAAACTGGCTGTAAAAATGTTTTCCCACACTCCTGGCATTCGTAAGATTTCTCTCCTGTGTTGAGTTCTTCTATGAAAAATGATACTATGTGACCCTCTAAATGTTTTCCCACATTCCTGACATTCA